AACGCATTACTTCAGACAACAACTAATACAAACCGCGAAAAATTCTACCACAGATACAACCATAAATTTTAACACCGATCAGAAAAATATGTCAAAATAAGTAGAATTATAAATGACTTATTAATTTGGCCAGTAGACAAGTTTGTAGTTTATGTATTTATATATATAAAAAGAGGAATAATTGATCAAAAATTTGCGACTGACTACATCAAATAGATTGAACCACAATAACTGACAACATAAATTACTAAGTTGTATGCATGCCGCTTACTAAAAAGTGAAATCATTATAACCACATGGGCATAACTTCTTATATATATATATAAACCAACTATGTAATTCCTACATTATTTTCTATCATTTAAACACTGAAAACCTAGGTATAATAACAGCATATAGAGATAGAAAAAAATTTTCATTGTAGTCAGTTGTCCTTTTTAATGAGATTATAACTTGAAAAGTCCTAAACATTGGCATTCTGAAATATGTTGGACAATTTTATACCTTGGAAGCTAAGAATGAGTATAGAACTATGGATTATTCCGAGAAAAATCGAAACGACAAAAAATAGTTGTGATGAGATCGTAGGTCATACTTACTTCCTTTACTTTATTACTACTATCCATTATCAGTTAGATTGAGCGCCATATAAACCCTCGTGTTTCTATGTTTCTGTGCACATAAACAAACCAAAAGTTGTGCAAGTATTTGTAATGTAATTTATTTTGCAAAAAAACTAAGAACCTCGTAGTTTTGTATTTCACTGATTGAAATGAATTTCATGGTTTGTATTCTTTACATAACTGGATTAGTGAAATTCTCGCTTTTGATAATAAGTATGTCTAAACCATTTAATTATCTTAAGACGCTTGGAATCATTGTGATTGGAACATCAGGATTTTTTGCTCGAAACATTCCGTAACTGGTGGTATAGATCTGTAGTGGTATTGGATCCTAACCACACGGTCTTAGAAGCTGGACGTACAATTACTAAGAAAATTCGCTTTCATATTGTAACACTAAGAGAAGATTAGAGATACTGGATTCAGAAGCATTCATTAAGTTTGATGAAAGGGTTCAACCTTGTAGACGTGGTCATTATATGAAACTTATTACTATCCACATTAAATATATTGTTCTATCCCCAACCCAAATGGGTTCTTTAGAAGTACGAAGTATCATTTTCTCAGTTGTTTCAGTGTATAATATAATAATACAATTTCTACGTAAAATTAGGCTGAAAGAATCGTGCAGTATCATATCACCTATAATTGCGGCACATAAGCTCTGACCAATTCATATCTCAGATGCTTATATTACCATACAAGTGAATGCGGATCACATATGCGGCAAACGTCTTTATTTGACTTCCTTCGCTCGACTTTGCAGTAAAGACTTAGGCATACGAATAAAAAAGCTCGAACGAATAAACGCTTGACAAACCATCATGGGATTCTCCCTTGAATCCTTTAGAAAATATAAAATCGTCTATATTTTCCGAGGAAGCTTCTTCGACAACATTAGATGTTAAGAAATAATAAGACATTTCAACTCTTGAAGGGTTGTAGTTATGTTCACAGGTTGACCTCCTACACCAGACATATAACCTTAGGGTTTTACACCTGAGATCGAAAACGTACTTACACGTCTTGTATTATCTCCAGAGGATTCTGCAGTGTCAAAATCCATTATCAAATCAACCCCGAGTCTCTAGTAGCTGAAAATATTCACCCAAGGTAAGTAGCTTTGACAGATTTCTGTACCGATCTTGCTGAACACGCAACTAGTTGAAGACTCTCATGAAGGCGTGCAAATCAGATCACATTTCAATGAATCATAGGGCTTACCAATTCTGGTAACAAGCTAGCTTAAGATTTAGACGTCACGGTACATCTGCTTGACACAAAAGTTTTCTAAAATAGCACTTCATGTTTGTTGGCCCAACATTCAACACCTAATTTCAAACCCCAGTAGATTAAGAAACTTTAATGTTGTTCTGCTCGCGATACTTCGAATGAAGATTTATCCAAACGGAGAGCGCAGTTTGCTTTTATCGAAAAAAGGATACTTTGTAACTTCTAGACATAAATGCGAATCAGTTATTACCCACCAGACTTGAAAACTTATTTGAGTCCTAACGAAGTCTTTTGCGAGCTTTACGTCGTTGCCATGAAGAAACATGTGTATCACCAAAGCAGGTGGCCTCTGAATAATGTCAGGCCTACTCGGATTGAGCAGAAATAGTTTGACTTGGATTACGTCGAAATCGCAAGTCGAAATCAATAGGTCACCTAGATTATGCTATCATGGTGACCATGTGAACTGACTTCCTAAACGACTTGCTAAAACAAACGCTCCCAATAGGCATCAGCATATGTTAGTATCATCATGTTGCAGAAATTCGTATGGAACTACTGCCGTATGAGCCTGTTCGTGACACAAAATTGATTGGTGCGTGTTGGTTGTGGTTGACAATAATGAGGATCAGTAAATTGATTGGCATTCTCTGTCCAATGGATGATTTGGCTACGGCACGATTACCTTCCATTAGCCCCCCAAACATTAAGAAAGTCATATAAATTGAAGATCGCTTACGAAGTCTATAACGAGCTATGGCCTCAGCACTTATTCTTGAGAACTAGCCAAATCTTTGTCCTTGGAATATAAATAATTTTCTTAGATAGCTGCAAACGGAGCTGCAGACGAAAACTCTACACCTTAACAGTGTACTGAAAGACAAATCACTGACTGGCAGGATAATTGCTCTTACTTCCTTTGAGTATTGAAGCGATGTAACAACCTCGATATTTCTAGGTTCAAATACTGGGTGGAGAAATTGGGCACCACACATATTTATCAAGATAGCAGAATATCAAGTGTGCAACTGGTGTGAAACCGAGTATAAACCAATTAACAGACCAACCCCACCTATGACTTCGGTTTTATAACGACCGAGGTGTAAATGTGCTTTTTGTTTGTTTTTCTACAACAGGCTTCATGGTTGATCGGTCGTCAACAAGGTCCTCTAGTTAATAAATTAATTTTTGCTTATCAATGGTGTGTCATGTATTAAGGTCTTGTAATGTGTTTGAGAGCATTTGGACCTTAGATAACGGCCGGTGCCTAAATGATTGGAGTGCCTAGCTGTCACCGGCGATTTTCACTGCATGAGGGACGGTTTAACTGCCTGTGGTCTACAATCTACAAAGTCAGTCGTCGACTGTTCAGTCACATCACTTGCACTAACCTGATGTACCAATATCTGGAAACTTCTGCAGTTTTCACTAGGATTCTCGTAAATTACATTTAACATGACAGAGATACGCAGACTGCAGCGTTTGGCCCTGTTGGGGCCTTTAATTTGGTAGAAGGTTGAGTACAGGCTGAAAAGCAGGTAAAGTTGATTTGCAAGATTAGAAAATTTACCGCAGTTCGCCTAGTCCACAACATTTACAAATATACAGTAACAACAAATAAAATACCACATAGTGTCGAAACATTAAAGAATTTAGAGTCCTTCTTATCGGATGAAAAATATTGGTAAGACGTTTTCTTATAAAGCTCTTCAATATATTTGTTGTCGGCTCTAGGTTATAAGAAGTAAAGTCTCTTCGACAAAATATGTAACCAGTTTAAAGGAAAGCAACCATAAGCATCATAATAATTACTAAAAATTTCAATAATTTTCGACTACATTTCTTTTCTATCTGAAAGTAGAAAGCACTAATCGTAAAGTGGTGACGAACTGGTTAAAAGGAAAGGGTAGTCCACAATGCAAAGATGAGAAGTCAGTTCAAGACAGTTTTTTGGTCTTTAACCACATACATCACTAGTCCTTATGCTTAGATAATAAGAAATATAACGCCTATACAAAATAATGAAGTGAATGGGTACTTGAAATATACCGTTTCGACATGTGCTTAGTTGTTTGAGGTCGACTATCAACAAACAAACCTAAACTGTTACAAGGTCACAGGTCCGTATCGGTGTACACATCTATGGTACTAGAGTACTAAGCCAAATCTAATAATGTGAACTTGGAGCGATATAACTGCTTAATCTATATAACCTCACTTCGACGTCAAGTTGTATTTCTATCTTGACCTGCCTCATCAAAGTTGTCAGTGTAAGACTTCGTAAGAAACTTTGAATAATAGATATAATCTTAGCGCTAAAATATATTTATTAAGGAGACTAATGATACATATAATTATTGCTCTTGTTTGACCGAACCACTTCACCTTAGCAGTCTTCTCACGAGGACCATTATTAACTTCTACTATGTTTCAGTTGTCATTCAGGGTCCGGAAATAAAATGTATGAGGTAGGGTACATTCGGCTTACACAATCATGTAGTTAGCACTCAGTGTTATTCCCCTAGCAGTACTGATCGATCTCGGATAAACATTCGTTTTTCGCAAATCATTCAACATTGAGGAACAGAAATTGATCACTCGCATTAAAAGAAGAGTTACACAGTCGTGAATACGTGATTTATCGTGTTATATGTCAATGCAGATTTACAGGGTCCTTCAGAAATAAAAAGGAAAACTCCGCTATTTCGTTCTGTAGGTGGAATAATAATATATCTAATAGCGTATCAGTGAAACCGTCTGGAATTTTCCAAGCCCTCAGCAACTACCTCACATACCCAAAATGTTTAGATTCTGAAGACGTGTGGGTGTAGATCCAAATCAGCGTTACGAGGCAATAGTTGGGAGGAAAATATATTTGAAAACACTTACGAGACATCCCACAACAAATTATCAGAGATAGTGCACAAATTATAAAACATGAATAGTATGTCACCGGAAACCTGGTGCTTAATTACGTACGTCCAATCAACATAGCCATTAGTAAATAGCACTGCCTAACATCTGTAAAAATAGCCACTGTTCTCAAGACTTGATCACTGTCGTGAATTTCTTATGATCATGATTATTTATTTCAATACAATTTGTTTATATGACTCACTGACTAACAAAGCGTCAAGGTCTCTCGGACTAGGTGGGCTTTATGGACTGGGCCGTCTTGGTGAGTTCTATATTTTATATTTTTGTGGTTATTTAGTTTCTATCTCCATATTCAAGTGGATGGCTATTTTCCATAGTGCCCTTGCGTTCTTACATCAAGTGGTTCTGTTACACTGTTTAGATATGTTCTATTTTAATTTCCATATCTTCCTCAGAAATACGTGCTAAATTCTCTCACAAATTGAATTAGTTGACTTCTAAAAGACATTTTCGCAACATATGTACATTCTTGTCAAACAAATCGCATCGTGACTCGCAACATTTAGTTGTCAGATAACTGATCGTTTTCGGGTTAATTTCAGAAATGTTATTTATCTTTTTACTTCATTTCTCTTAATTGGATTATTCAACGCATCGGCTTTTATGAAGAGGTGTAACCAAGTGAACCTTTGTTTTCGTACTTATACCTCATTTCATATGTTTACCAACGTCCGGATAATCGCTTATTATTTATTTATCTAAACACAAACATTGGTACAAAGGGGTCCATGATTACTATTGGTTTAAAATCAGAGGTTTTCAATTCCCTTGAGAGAATCCTCCGTTCTCAGTAACCTGGTTTAGTGGCTGGGCATTTGCTTTTCGTAAACAACACAGCCACAGGAATGCAGTGAACAAGACTTCACTGGCAGTGACTATATACACATGGCCATATGAAAGAATTTCGAAATAGAATGCGGACTCTCTCCAACCGTGGCCATACTGTTGCATTTGGTGGCTAGTAAAGTTATGCATTTACAAACATCATATTTACTGCCAGTTTCACTACAAATCTTCGTGAAACTAATAACCGATCACATTCTATTTACTTGACCAAAACTACAACGCAATGACATTCCACAAGATTTTAGCTTCATGAAAATCAAGTTCACCGTGAACATATCTCATTCATGCGGGTATAATTTAACCATTTTACTCCACGATTTTTGTTGCATTTCTTCGCCATACTGCTTTAAGGCAGAAGCGTGTGCTTAATAAACACAGTGTACGTAAATTATGTATTACCATATCTCTTGGGAGGGTTTTCAAGTTATTACTGTAAACAAAGTACCTGCTTTAATGCTTCATCATATTATTCGTATTGTAGCAATTCTTTAAAAATGATACCACCTCAGTTCTTGTTACTGAATATTTTCAACAAACATTAGCATTCACAACTAAAAAACGAGTCTGTGCTAATTAACGAAAGTTTGGAATCTTATGGCATCAATTGGGTTTGTTCCAGCTAGTTGTCTATTTATGCTTTGTTAGCTGTTTGATCACCTGGTATTGTACAGTATAATAATATCTGCTATTTCAAAAGACATCTCAACAAACTGTTTGTTAAAACTTCTGTTACTGAAGATGTGTACAAAAGCTGCATCATTCTGTTGACAGGACACAGTTCGCTACACATTCCACAACAGTTGTGTTGGTACTCTGTTTAGGGTTTTATCGACATCCTCGAAAATGATTACAAAATGAATGTCGAATTCCATCTTTTTTTTCCAAGAAATTACTTTTGTATGGAACAGTTGCTTCTTAAAGTTGTCGAGTCTTCTGAATTCAAGACTGTTTCCTTCGAAAGTTGAAGTATCCTTTGATGTACTAATCCGTCAATCTCTTACTTCGTTTAATGGAAAATAGTGCTTTATCCTTAGTGTGCTCTAAAAACGTGGAAATGCCTTTTCATTTTGTTGACCCGAACGAACCCGTTACGTATAAAGGCGTAAAAAGTAATAAAAATTCAGTTTTTATTAAATGATTATTTTCCAAAACTCCAAGTGATTTTAGTTAACATCACTATATCATCCTGTAAGTCATTATTTTCTCATTTTGACAGACTGACACCCAATTTGGAGTTCAACTTAGTTTTCGTTCTATTTCAGTAACTGTTAAATCTAGTGTCAATAACAGGTTGTTCGGAAAATGTTTTTACTATTGAAACTTCAGATAACTCTGAAAGTCGGTAAACAAACGAACAAAAAACTTCCCTCAAGTACCTTTCCTTAGTGCAACAACCAGATAGTATCACTAGCCTCCACACCTGAACTGCCGCTAAAAGCCACGTACACGGATGTGTACATGGTAAAAGCTTCTATGTTTGAGGAATTTCGCCAAAAGAAGTATTTTAAAACAAACGGAGTCTTAATAATACAGAGGTCGAATATATATGAGATAATAGGGCTTGAGGAAGTTGAAGAAACATGAGAAGCGAACATATCACTTGTTATTTTCAAACTACCCTATTCAGGCTTTTTTTTTACAGATTCCTAACATCTCAAGGATCTCAGACAAACTTCTTACACTTCCATATGAAACCTGGTGGTCGGAGCGTGCTAATGAGCTGGAAGCAGCAACTGCATCTGGTAACTACCAGAAGCTCTTCCAACTCATCCGAGCCACTGGCAGCAAAATGTCTGCTGTGAGTGAAACAATCTGCAAGGATGACAGGATGCCAATCGCTAACATCCATCGACGTCTTGGACGATTGGCAGAATTCTTCGAAGGGCAGTTCAACTGGCCTGCTGCTCCAGCAGCGTCGGTCAGACTGTCCTGCCCCCCATGGCCGGTGACGACTGATCCACCAAATGAGGCGGATGTCCGCAAGGAACTCCAACTCTTGAAGCGCTACAAATCACCTGGCCCAGATGACTTACCTCCGGCTCTTTTTAAAGATGGTGGTGACTTTCTGACTAAGGAACTGACGATGTTGTTTACAAATGTTTGGGAGTTAGAGAGTGTACCAACGTCATGGAATGAGTCGATAGTTGTCCCTATCTTTAAAAAGGGTTCACGTCGTCCCTGTAACAACTATCGTGGGATAAGTCTACTTCCGATTGCGTCCAAGTTATTGGCTTCCGTCATACTTCATAGGTTGTTCAAAACCCGAGAAAGATTAATTCGCGAGGAGCAGGCTGGGTTTCGTTCTGGTCGAGGATGTATTGATAAGATCTTCAAATGTTGCAACACCGTCATACTTATCACTGGCCAACAATTGTAGTGTTTATAGGTACCATTACCAAGGTTTGATTTGATAATTTCGAATAAATTGAGCATTAGGTAGATTGTTATAAATAAATAATATATTTGTAATATCCCAATGAGTAGAAAAATTAGATTTTCTGACATTTCGTGGCTTAGTGTAAGTCACTTCTTCAGAAAATAAAAACTTTTTTTAATTTTTATTTATTCTCTAAAGAAGTGACTTACATTAAGCCATGAAACGTCAGAAAATCTAATTTTTCTACTCACTTGAATATTACAAATCTACCATTATTCGTAGTGTTTCTTGACATCAGGGCTGTCTTCGATTCGTTGGACAAGACTGTTTACTGGGATTGTCTATTGAAGAAGGGTGTGCCTGAGAAGTTTATTAACATCCTAAAAGTCCTATATACAAACACCTCAGGTAGAGTGAGGGCATACAACCACCTCTCTCCATTGTTCCATTCGAGCAATGGGGTTAGACAGGGTTGCCCAATCTCACCATTCCTCTTCAACTTTGCCATCGACGACATTCTGGAAACAGCTCTGATGGATGTAAGTGATGGTGGTGTGGATCTGTTGCCTAGAGAAAGACTTCTCGACCTTGTGTATGCGGACGATATTGTCTTACTGTGCGAAAATGTCCAAGACATGCAATTCGCGCTTAATCAGTCGGCAATCAGTGTCCGTAGGTATGGTATGTGCTTTGCACCTTCGAAGTGCAAAGTACTTCTACAAGACTGGCAGGATTCTAATCCTGTACTCACCCTGGATGGTGAGCAGATAGAAGTAGTCGAGAAGTTCGTGTATCTGGGTAGCTGCATAAGTGCTGGTGGGGGTGTGAGTGTTGAGATCAGTGCACGTATAATGAAAGCCAGAGTGGCTTATGCCAATCTGGGCCACCTTTGGCGCCTTTGTGATGTTAGTCTGGCTGTAAAAGGTCGAATCTACAACGCGTCGGTGAGAGCAGTTCTGCTCTATGCTTGGGAAACATGGCCTTTCCGAGTTGAAGATGTTATACGACTCTTTGTGTTTGATCATCGTTGTTTCCGAAGGATTGCTGACATCCAGTGGCAACACCATGTTAGTAATGCAGAGGTTCTGCATCGTGTGTTCGGGCACAGAGACAATAATGCAATCGATGTCACCATTTTGAAACACCGACTTCGGTGGCTTGGACATGTTCTACGAACGTCGTCCCAGAGAATTCCACGTCGTGCATTATTTGCCGACTCTGGGACTGGTTGGAAAAAAGTGGAGAGGTGGTCAGTGTATGACATAGTGTCGGGATATGAAAGAAAGGTGCAAAGGGCTGACTTGTGTTGGTCCTTCACGACTCCCTGGCTGGGGTCCGAGAGATGGTGCGACACAGTGGCTAGGGACGTTATCAGATATGGTTCAGAATAGAAGCCAGTGGCGATCCTGCTGTAACCTTCTTTTACTTTCTTCATAAGCAAAATAGTTGTATCTTCCTTAACTGAAAGAATTCTTCCGGTTGTACCTTTCCATTTCCCCCATTATTATTATTATCACATTTCCTTACACTAATCCGCTCATTATTGTTCCTCTTCTTTTTTCTCTTTTACACTCTTTACCTTTTTTCTCTTCGAATTCTCATTGTTTTGTGTGGGGCGTATATGCTTGGTGCCCCCTTGTACCAATATTTATGTGTTCAAATAAATAAATAAATAATAATCCATATGGAATCAAGGGCTTCATAAATTGATTTAGTGCCATTTTTTAGTTTTTCCAGCCTTTTCATTTCCTAGTTACCATTATAAATTTCAGCATTTGTTAAATATAATTTATCGGTGTGTGAAGTATGAAAATAGACTCTTACTTGATAAAAGCGATCTCACCAACTAATCACTGTTATGCATAACAAAGGAAATAGCCTTGTGTCCTAACAATCGGTAGTTTCCTAAGTCATGAACTTGAAGACCGTCCTCCATATTTATTCCTTATTTATTTTATTCTTGAACTGTCAATAATCCAACACATCTTTCGTCTAAGTTGTTATTGTTTTATTTCTAAACGATTCTGTCTCTTGATATGAATACGTACTGTACTGGAATACTAATACTTAGTGTATATTTTTTATTGTAGTGCTTTATAAGTTGGAAGTATCATTTAAAACTTAACACTTACGACATCTTAGCAATTAAATAACCATTGAGCATAAAGTTAAACATCATGCGAGTATGGGATTATTTTAATTTGCTAAACAACCTACTCAAAAGTTTGGGTTTTTAACAAATTTCTTTGCCTATATTTTTCTTTTCCTTTTAGCATTTATCATTATGAACCACTAGTGTCCCCTGTATTCCTGCTCTTATTACTGTTGCTCTTCATAAAGTGCCTCTGCAATGATTAGCTTTGAAGTTATGCGAACTTCCGGAAGCATTTTACTAATAGTGACATTGTGCACATCAGCATATGCTCTTGATTGCACCAACTTCAAACAAGAATGGATGAAATTACGGTATACTATACTAACAGGAGTTCATAGTTCAGCTATCATTGGTAGGATACAATAACTTTCATTTTTTATTTTTTAAGGTCCTGCATCAAACATTTGTCCTGTAACCGGTACTTCCTGTTGTGATGTAAGCATGGAACATGAAATGTACTCAGTGGGTCAGCGTCAACTTATAAAGCAAACCAACTCATGGTTACAAGTTGCCTGGAAAATGAGCAATGATAGTGCCGTGCTTGAATGTAAGTCTTATGCCATTCTGGTCAATGAAGTGTTAGAACACTGAATAGCTAGTAATAATTGTTAAATAAAGCTACTTTCGTGTTCTAAAATATACATATCCTACCGAATCTGCTGACAACAATGAGGAAACGAATGTATATTGAACTGTTTCCTTCAAATGTTTGACTTTTCGTTCTTGTCATCTAGTCTCGGAGTAGATCATGACTTCGCTTTCTTCAGACAGTTTCCTTAATGAATAACTTTAAGCCTTCATCTTTTCAACAAGTTTATGCAGTTGTCTATTGGTACCTATCAATACTACCTTTTCAATTTCCTTTGTTTTTCCACCCTACCATTACTACTGGTCATTTCGCTAGCTTTCTGTTAATCCACGATCGATATTCCTTGCTACTCATCCTATTCACACCCTTCTAGTATAAGTGTCATGGTATCTGAAATCCATTGGTTTTTCTTAACCTTTCGGCTTTGATTGCTTACATAGGTTAATGATATTTTTACACCAGACTATCTCAGGGTGAACATCACCTTTGTAGTAGACTAAGTGCCTTGGCAGTTTTTTCTTAAAAACAACCCTTTACATTTTCTTTTAGCCAAGTCCAAGAATGTATTTTTGCTGCAATTTTCATCCTTTTAGTAAGGCTAAGACAAATGTGTGCTCACACTAGAGAGTGATTTGGGCTCAGATATATACTACAGGAGTAACAGCCTTTTCAAATAGGACCGATAGTAATATAGTTTGTCTGTCTTTTTCTGTAAGTATATTGCATTCACTAGATTAGAAAACTTTTCTTTCCACGTTTCGAGTCAGTGTCTTTAAAAAAATAGGTATCTGAACATAAATTCAGTAGACGACCACTGTTATCTTCACTCTATCGTGAAATACCACAAGTTTCCGCCTAACATTTTGTAAACTCGAGTCGTTAGCAATGACTACACATGAAATCAAGTCAGAGCAGAAGGGTAGATAATAAAACCAAAATTATCAAAAACCGGGAAAGTGGTTTGGTTAACAATATGCTTAGCTCCGGTTCTGTTAAATTTGTACGGGTAGTTGACACTTCTTGATTACCCATTTCTTATAGTAGTTGCTCTTGCAGGGTCTGAAAAAACATTGGCTAGTAGTGGTGGTCAAGGTGCATCAGTTTAGAGGCCGTTCATACATATCATCTTTTGAGTAGTTTTTTCTATCTTAAGTATGTTTTTTTTAAACCACCACCAGCCATTCATATGGAATGGTTGTATCATCTTAGTAACCAGCCTCTAACCCCTACTTCTGTATATGGGAAAGTAGAGTGGAAATATTGGCTATCTGTAGGAAACGCCCTCTTTTGACCACACTAGTACAGATGTCAGTACAACCCCGCTGTCTGATTTAAAATGTTTGACTTTTGGTATTACAACAGGTATTCTCAACATAGTAGAACTTCAGAACAAGTAGTCCAAGGAATACAACTTTATTGAACCATCACGGTATACAAGCCTGACCACTATCAAGGCAACAATCGCGGTAATGATGGACTCAGATACTATCAAGAGTAAAGATTTCGTACATTTTGTTCTCATATAACTTAGCTGTTCGTGGTGCTGAGAAAATGGTCTGCAGTAGTTCTAAATATTTTACCTCCTTTGCTTATTATCTTTTAATTCTACACAGTACAGTTAGTCGGTCTTTATTTATTTATTTCTCTACTCAGCAATTTTTCAAGCTGATTTACAACAAGCTAAAGGACGTTTACATCAATTTTTCAGTCGGATTTATGGATACAATTATAAATTGCATAGAAATTTCTTCTTCGGGTTTTTCACCGATTTAGAACAATATATGGCAGGTCAGCGGGGTCAGCTCGGTGTGTTAATCAAAAATTTCTTCAGTCAACTTCGTGACAGTATAGTTAGTTTGATTGAAAAATCTGGACAAGTTAATTCCAATCCTCCTTTCAGCTCGGTTTCGCCTAACACTGGCTCGTTTGGTAACAGTCTTCCTGGGGTTGGTGGTACTGATGAAGCTAGTGAATCTAGGCGAATTCGTTGTTTATCTGAAAAGATTGCGCAGTTACATCCGTTTGATGATGTAGATGTCCGACTTCACGCTCGTATGTTGGAAGCTTATCCACCCGCTCGTATGTTGGTCAATGTTTTATCCGTTACCAGCAAATTATTACATTATCTGGTTGATCAGGTATTCGTTTATTTTCTTATTTCTTTGATACAACACAAATATTTGCCTAATTATTTTTTTCGATGATAGTTCATGAATTTCATCTAAGAGACTATCTAAGAAATAAGAAAACGTTTGGGAAGAACGTTTACTTGGAAGACTTCATACTTCAAATACTACATTACATACATGTATGTATAGTTTCTTCACTGGTCCTAACTAGGATAAGTCTAAGGAAAACGAGACATTTCTTATTATTTTACTTTCTGTCAATCTTTACAATCACATGGTACAATAATAACGTGAAAAACAATTTTCACTCTCAATATGATACGAACTTTTGAAGTGTCCATTTGAAAGTTTATTATTATTAAAAGTTTGTTAGTGTTTATCCTAGTTTGAAAACCTAGTGGTTTTACAGTAAACAATAATAAACTTCTTACTCTACAACTAATGGTGTCAGTTGTTAAGATACTGATAAATTTTGTTAATTATGTTAGAAAACACCGGTTATCAACTGTATAAACGTAATCTGATCTATGAATTTTCATGTTCACATACTACATTGCAAAGACAACTAGATTCAATAAAAATATTTTTTCAATTGAATAAGAGAAAAACGAATATCATTGTAAACTGTTGATTCACAAATTGAATTACAATCTGATCATTAAATCACTCTTACTCAGTTAGATGCTGATTGTTAACAAAATGTTAATGTAGTATACGTTACTTGTTACTTTTCCCGAAAAAAAATCATGATACTGTAAAATGTTCACCAAAATTGTACCCTTAAATTATTTGTTGTATGTAACATTCAAGCATATACTTTCTAATACGTTTTAGTGTGTAAATAAATATTTTGTTAATAATATTATCAATGCTTAGTTGATCTGTTCACTTCAAAAACTTATATCTATACTAGATGTTTCCTCAAAACTAAAACTATCGGGTAATTTGGTGCAATAAGAAATAAAGTCGGAACATAGATATCGTATTAATCAGCACATCAACCAGGTACATATGCAATCTTCAACAAATAATCCAAAATATTCGGACGTGTTTCATGTTAGTTGACACTCATCAACTAGGCGTGTCGGTGATCTTGAGGAAACTTGTGCTCACTTTGTGACTTGGTAGTCATCCAGTGAAAATCCCTCATTCATGCTGGAAGTCCATCACTTCCCGAGTATCTATGTTATAGTGTCTCCAACTACAACTGTAATGTTGGCTCTATTGTCACTAGAAGCACAATTTCCCCCAAGAATGTATACTTGCCTTTTCAGCTAGTTGCAGATAACATAAAACCTAGGTTTAAAACTTCCTACTGATCTACTTCAATCACATTATAACAGAATAATCCATAATATTGTGCTAAATGCCTGTCAAAGATTTGCAAGTCCTTTTTTAAGTCAGTAACTACATAGTCAGTCGCAATTAACGTTTAATCTGCTATAGATGTTCATCAGCCCTAGCTGTCATACCACGACATAGCAAGATAAAATTAATAAAATGAATAACAGATGAATCTAAATAATAGTAGTGTGGTGTGTGCTACTGACGTCGACAGATATAAGTAGTATGTATCGCCAATCGGAAGTGAGATGCCTGAAGGCAGAAGGTTAAGAAGATCAAAGAAATAGAACGAGAACAAAGAATGATTGGTATGAAAACGAAAAAACAATGAAACCTGAGACGATTGATTGACATTTTGCAAATGAAATATTTACTGTTTGTTTCTCAGATTTCACTAAGATGTTCTGTAATTTTGTATTCAAATACATTCGATTGTCCCCACTTATGTTCTCGTTCACTACATTTGGTGTCGCTGCCAACCAGAAGGTGAGGAAGGTCGCAGATCTGTGGACGCCATTGCATACCTGGAGCTGAGATGCTAGTTGGAGAGACCTGATGCGAGGAGGTGACGTCGAAAGGAGTGTTCTGGTGGGGTGGCGTTGGCTGTAGCGGATACTATCTACGAAGAGGAACGATGGATTAAGCAGCTACTGGGCAGACGTCGAATATAGATGGCTCAGCAGGTCTCCGAAGCTCAGGTGTTGAACGTCCCATGTGCTGGGTGTACGTCGGATTTCGACGGAGTTATGCAGGTCAACGCGACGCAGACTCAACATTTTGACGGGGAATGTGGCACAGACTGCAGAAAACAAGAAAATGGTACGGTGAACAGAACTACCGCAAGAATGACCACTTTAAAGTAGGGACGAGTGTGATGTATGCTACTGGTGTAGTGGACGAGAACACAAGTGGAGACATTCGAATGTATTTGAACGCGAAATTACAGAACATCTTAGTAAAATCTGAAAACCATACAGTAAATACTTAATTTGCAAAATGTCAATCAATCAAATTAATAATAAAGTTCTAAATCTCGATGACTTTTATGTCCTTGGAATAACCAATAATTTATCTCAGGTTGAACAGAATGTACTTAGAACGTTATTATATGGTAGTATTTATCTAAGTCGTATTTAATGTATCCAAGCTTCTATACCACTCAGCTGTCCAAAGCCAACTTTCGTTCGAATTTATTATTCAATTCTAGATATTTGTATACGTTTGCTACCGAGTAACCCTTTAATGATTACTCAGCTTACAATTCCTATCATCAAACCAACTTGGATAATAAATGTTATTAAATAAATAAAAGAACTACCAAGCAAAGCCCTAATCAAACCATCAATGTTAACTTATCATCTCTTTAATACAAATCAAAGATAAATAACTTTTAAAATCGTATATTTTAGTGCAATTTTCATGGAGTTATTGCGTTTGACCGGCACAAAAATACTTGAATAGTTACAGATAAAATTCGCAATTGTTTTGTAAGTAATTCCAAGGAAGCAGTTTTGCAAGGAGAAAAATTCCATTGTTAAGTACTTTTACTGATAAGACAAAAAAATTTTAAACTACATCATATTTTTTGGTTTAATGATTAATAAACAATAATAATACAGTAATAATAATACACGTTTATTTTCTTCCTTCATTGTGTGTTCATCAGGTTGTAGCTCAATCTCAATGTATTTTGGGCATTACACGTTATCGATTTTGTGCTATATGCGAGGCTCAGTCACTTAATAATGTCTGCCCTGAGAGTTGTTCACAATTACTAGCCGGATGTTTACATGGTGATGGTCCAGATGAAGCACAATTGGAGTATATTTGGCCTCAGTTAATTGGTATGTTGCTTTGCATTTTATCTTTCACTGAGAATGTTTTTTTCAACTGATACCACATGTTTTGTTTATAGCGAATCATTGTAAATCATCATTGTTTGATAACCTATGTTTTTAGTTCTCTTTTATTTTGAACATATTTATTGTTCTAACATTGTGGTTTAAATATTCTCTTAACATATCGATCACATAAAAAATACACACTTAGTTTAGCCTATCCATATAGATTATTTGATTTTTAGTTGATAATTTACATGTCTTTAAAGTTGAACGTTCAAACAAAGCAAAAATGAAACACTTGAAATGTAGACAATGAGGAAACTAATCTATATTGTATTAAACCACACTATTACTAATGTAAAAGAAAAATATATTGATTAGTCTATTAGTTTGATCCAGATCATATGTTGGTTATTACTGTTTAGCTGATTGGTTGTTTATTGAATAACGTCAATAAATATCATCTGTTATCCACGATCATATTATGATTGTTTTGTATCAATGAAACATATTTTTTGTTCCATCTTAATGCTGTTTTGAATGTCAATAGTTGTTAAATTTTAGAATAAGTTATAAATAATACATATAGCATATGATGTTAATTTCTCAATTACAGTATATTGTCTGATTTTTTATAAGTCTATATCATGAAGATTAATTTAGCTTTATTAAAATTATTATTATTCTTTCACATTATTTTGTTTATTCTCCTTGTCTCCTCTTACCCTTTAATTTCTAGTCCAGTTGACCTTTTAGTTTTATATATAAATGTTCTTAACAAGTATATGTATGATTAGATTATTCGAAATGAGAATGGGTTTTTGTGGAGAGTTTTCAGGTTTTCCATGGTGGTCTAGCTTCAACTGACTCATGATTCCAACTATTCGAAATGTATTGTGCTAATATATCACATAATTATGATAGTCTTCATCTTCTTATTACACTATCAAAATGTATCAAAGAGACTAATTGCATCAAATTATTCTTCTAATTAAAAAGTAAAATTGTCCATTTACATGACTTAACAGTTTAAAAAATAAGCATTGAATGGACATATTGTAACAATATAAATATTTGTCGAATACCAACAATAACTGCGAATAACTGTATTGGTAATAAAGAATTAGCACATAAATTTGTTATTAAAGTTGATTTGCTTCGAATTAAATTGCCTGGATTGGTAATACTTAGGATTTAAAATAACTAACTGGGTTTTTTTACTATAGATTACTGTCCTGTAGTTTTATTAGTCTGTTGCCTCAAGTTGTCTAGTTTCACTAGGCAGCCTTCAACCAGTAGATAGCTGGGTACTATTATTAGCCCTTACACAAAAAACATACCTTGAAACCGAACACGAGAATCTGTATACAGGAATTGGGTTTCATTTAAATTTTCGTCTCCGTCTAGCATTTCCTGTGTTTTTTCTTTACTAAACAGATAACTCATTTTTTCAAGTACATGTTTACGTACTCATTTCTTTGGTGGTTAGTAATATCGTCCTGGCTCACTCGAACTGAGCTAGGTGTCGTGAGGTAAATGGTTTCTAGTGTGTGATAGTGTTTGCATCAATAAGGAAAGAAAAAATTAGTATGACTTCTAAACTATTTATGGGTCATGGAATAGCTTCTTTTTTCCTCCCTATCGTTGTACTGTTCATCTTCAATTTTAAAACTAAGTTGTTGTTTTTTTCAACAAAAGTTAACAATAATGATCTTATATCACATTTTATTCCTATCAAACCGCTTAATACTTGTCTAAAAATATCACAGTAAATTGTCCTTATTAATGCAAACATGTAATTTATCTGTGAATTGAAATATCATGTAGTAAATACATTGGAAATCCTAATACGATAACATGCAGAATAATTAGGAAAAAAATATCCAATGTAGTCATCGTTCACTTATAGGTCATTTTGATAAGTATACACAATTGAGTTATTGTCAAGTCTATTGTTGACTCGTAAAATTACGTATAATATACACTCCTGAGCACATCAATGTATGTAGCATAATCGTTTAGAGATGATAACTGTTTCTGAAACAATACAAAAACTGTCCATCTCAAATATTATGTAATTAATTTGTTATTAAAATCTTTTGTTATTCTTGATTATATTTAGTGACAGCTAACAAAAAGCAATCCATTATGAGCATTTTCTTCTGTTTGAATGATACTAACTTGAATGCGTGATGTGTGTGATGAAATGTCTGATATTCATTCGTTCTTTTTTCTACTGAAATTCGTTTTGTGTTGTTGGAGCATGTATGGCTGTTTTAGTGCACTGGCTCAGTAGTCAATGCGTTCGACTTGTGACTGTTAGGTCTCAGGTTCTTACTTCAGTTCACAAAGCTTGGTAGCATCACTAGCTCTCGTGCAACTTCTAACGCACCTCATAAATTTCTACTTGGTAAATGAGTTACATTTAATTAAGTAGTCGTTTTAACAAACCTGATTCGCAACATTGCATAGATACTTGTATCTAGATGCCGAATCTCTCACTTTCTATACAGCCTAGTATTTGGTACTGACAATACATACTGTAATTATCACGAATTTTTACGAAAACGTCTTCCTATACGCGTTTTTTTCTCACAGTAATTCATCTGTTCTCTGTCTCTCTCATCTAGATACAATCATCATGGCAACTAATCGGTTGGAAAGATCATTCAACTTTCCTGCAGTAAATCGTAATCTTCAAATGGAAATATCTGAAGCAATAACTAGTTTACAAACACGCTATAGTGAAACAAAATCTAAGGTAAATTTTATTTCGAAATTCTTCCGCCTCTTATATTTTATTGTTTTATTACTCTGCTGCTATTATTTCGATTCCTTCACCATTCATCATGTTAACTTTGTCGCTGATGTGATATGATCACTTAGAGTGATATACATTTTCCCCGGCTCTACGTTCGTTATGCGCAACTGATGTTCGTTCAATGCGCTGTGAAATTATTGAAGAGACTTCCAGTTAGATTTAGAGTATTAGTTGAACACGTTAAGTCACGTTCTGAAGTCTGGTGAACTTGATGTAAAAAACACACCATCTAATTGTGCTTTTGCCCAACTTATTCTTCTTACTTGGGCGTTAAATTCACATGCTACCATTAATACATCTAAACTCCTAGATTTTCGAAATTAACCAGAAAACTTTCGGGATTATCTATCTTTTATTTCATATGAGCTATGATCGTTCGGAGCGTGGGTTAATGGTTCTTATAGTCCCATTTAGTGAAGTAATGTATAATCAACCGTCAACTTTAATTAAACCTAAAAATACCTGTTCTGCCTTAGAATTTAATAAGATATCTTCGCCTTTGAGATTACAATAAATTGCTGTTGGTTCTCCAGATAACTAAATGGTGAACCATACTATTTCCTCACACTGGTTTTATAAGTTTAAATCAATAACAACATTTAAGTCCTGTATGAAACTTTCGGAAACACTAAATAAACTTATGTCACTCAACTGTGGAATCTTGCCTGGTGAAGTCTGTTGTTCAATATAACAAAGATGGAATATTGAAATGTTTAATATGTTCGAACTCGCGTTCTAGATAATCAGAGGCGACACTTTTAAGCTTAAATAATCAACACTGGTTACATTCGCTAATGAATTTAGTGAGGTATTGTTGATAGAATGTTTGGAAAAATCAGCGAAACAAGAAATGAAGTTCTCAGTTAACAGGATAGGGAGTAGATACTTTGTGGTCCCATGTACCGTTGAAGGACAAGAAGTTGCATCAATACTGACGACCTCATCAACCTGGAAAAAGGAAGTGGTAGAGCCCAAAAGTTGTTTATTGGCATCAGAATTGTAATGTAAAGTGGGTAAGTACGTGGGGGTATTGTTGTTTAGAGATTTTTTTACGTTTAGTTATATTAATAGTAAAATCAATTCAAGTATATCTTGTATTCTAACGATTTTTTCATCTTTCAGTTTGAATCCGAATGTCGATTTGGTTCTGCCGGTCGACGAATGCCAACATTGTTCAATCCTATTGGACCCCCTCATAGCAGTCAAGAAAATCGTGCAAATCACTCAGACATCTCTAGATGGTCAATGATATCTAATTTTAATAGACGCTTAAATCGAATAGCTCGTTCATCATCTTATCCACAATCATCACCTGTTTCTCAAGAATTCCTTGACTGGCAAACACGACAACGACCATCCCAAGTCATTCCTAGTAACAATCGTCCAAAAAAAATAGATTATCATCAACAAAGGACTAGCAAAACATCTGATGACTGGGATGCCTCAGACAACGAGAATCCTATGAATGCTCCAAATGATCTCGTTCGTCAAGTCAATGAAATCAAACAAGCTGTAAGATTTTCCTTTTGTTATACTTTTTTCAAATTTCAAGTTGTATTATGATTTTCATATACTCCATTTATTTTATCCTAATGAAGAATACACTTCATATGTTTGTTACCATCATTCGACTACTTGTCATCGGATAATGACCGTGTTTGTCTTCCTGTTCTTCGCATTAAGATCACAAACATCAGTCACCTCTATTTCTGCAAGCTGGTCGTTTACTAGTTAAAACAGGGGTTCTAAACAGTAGGATACAGGTTCAAGTCACACTTCACCTACCTTGGTTTTCGATATTCGATTAATATCACAAAAACTTTGTGACTCGAAGCCGAATACGTAAACTTCTTTTTAATAAAGGAGTTACTTTTAATATCTGAAGCCCTAAAAATGCCTTTTTAAATACATAGTCTTATCTTTTTACATGGTGGTTGTTTAAACAAGTTAACTACAACTTCCACTAGATGCGACATTCAGGACACGAATTGTATATAAAAAAACTTATATAATCGCATGTAAACACCATTATTTTGCTCTCAAAACAAAAGATTTGATAAATGCTGTCTTGCTACTGAATGATTACTCTCTGTTCCGTGAGTAGTATTCTGTGAACTATGTGCAGTTTCTGATTACTTAAAAATTGCAGATATTTGATGTCTTTTTGTTCTCTTAGATAGATAGTTTAATTGGTGAGCTCTCACTGTCATTATTCACAAAATCTTTCATGTAGAACTGAACTTCCCAGCTATTTTACAAGTAATATATGAGTTCATTCTAGTGATCTTGTTTGTAATTGGCTCCGAGACTAAACCATCTATCTCAGAGAACAAAACACAACATCAAAATCATTTATCTGAACCACGAATTTCCATTACCAGCAGATATAATTTCATTTTATGAATTTGTCTTGAAGTTATTCGAGCTTGGTATTCAAACATAAGATATTTGTATTGCTTTTCTATATCCAGTCATGATTGTTATCCATTATTGGAGAATGTGAATCACAAACCGATAAATCAACCTATGTACAGAAGTCGTTGGGTTACACTAAGGTCGTTTAGAATATTTCATTAGTGAATGTTTAATTAAGACAATACAAATTTGTGAGCTTTCTATTTAAACTACATATTATATTTTTGACAAGATCATTGGCTAACAGAATTTCAAACACTGGTTATTCTTTCAGTTCATCCTCATCGTAATTTCTAAGGATTTGTGTCGATTTTTGTTCAAAAATGTATTCTAGAGCTTTTATTCTAATAGTTAGTGATTGATATTTTTTTGTTTTGTATTTGAAATACTGGGGGTGATCGATTTAACATGTTTATTACTCGAGTTGCAAATAAATGGTCTGATTAGTCAACATAATGATACCGTCACCTAAATTTTATAGAAATCGAAGGATGCTAGTATACCTACACGTTCCTTTTATTTCTTTTGTAAAGAGGGAAAATCTCTGATAAAGACTTCATGAGAGTTTTATTCGAATTGTTTTATTTAATTTTTATTATGATACTGTTCCTATGACTTTAATAAAAAGTATCAAACTAACTTTATACTCCGAAGCATTTTTATCAGGTTTTTCTGTGATGCTCCTCTTTGAAAGGCTTCATTTCGTAGAACGGATTTTAAGTGATAATATAAGATCTTATTTTAAGTTCTCCACAGTGAATTTCATGAAACTATAATTGTTTCTCATCTTCCATGTACATGGTTATATCGATTTTGGAAGAGAAGCTTAAGATAATTTGGAGATAGTTATTATTTTAAAAACTGATATCTTTAATGAAAAACCAATAAAAATCATAGGGGCACTGAACAACTAACTGCTTCATCCTAGTATTGTGAATCCCATTCTCAGATTGTTGAGTTTTAATTGGGATCATCAACCAATCAATATTAGACCACTATTGAAAACCTGGAAGCACTGGACAACGGTTTCGTTCTAGTATGGGACTCCTCACTAGTGCCCATCCACGATCTCGCATGCGAAAACGTTTAACCTCTAGACCACTGAGTCGATTGTGTGACCATCTTCCATTGTCTTCAGTGGATAACTACCTCACACCCGACAGTGTTGGACTCCACTGGTCATTAGAACTCCGAAATTCATTCTCAGAGTTAGAGGTAAGCGAATAAGTGGAAAAGGTGGAATTATTAGAACCACTGTATGACAACTTATCATTTATATACTGATTCAATATTCATTAAATATTTGTTTAACGGTATTTTTATACTGTCCTAATTGTAAACTTCATTTAAATCGTTAACTGTTGATATACATAGTTTTTACCGTTAATTTATAATTGCGCACTTGTGACTCATTGTCGTATTGTTATTGGTGTATACTATATCATCATGTGAGTTTTAGAGTCTTTTGGGGAGGTTAGATCTTCAGAAATCACTTAGTAAATTTATGTAATTCTATTTTTAAAAATTGAATTTCTGGTTTTCGGGCCAAGAGTGTTCATTTTTACCTCCATGACCTATTTCTCACTTGGGAGGATCTTAAACGCTACTGGTTCGTTGTGTCTTTTAGCATCTATTTTGTAACACTTTCCAATGAAATTTTTATGCTGTATATATACGCTTGAGTTGTGCTTGTTTTTTTTTCGTGCTCCTGGCTGCTGTGGAATATATATTTCCCTCTTCAGAATTTGGACTTCTCCCTCTAGTTAGCTGGACTGAGACGCGTCGGAATAACTAATCTATCTGTCATTGTATCACAGAGTTTTCGTTTCGTTCTCAGATTAGATGAATTCGTAATCTCTTCAAACATAGTAGAGTCATAATCATGGAAGTCAAATTATATTGTTCTCGTGTTCTGGCTGCACACTGTCGCAATAGCATGATTTGTGTGGATCAATAGGCGTGAGGATATCCGGTCATTGCTGGTTGTGATTCGTGTTATTGACAAAACGATTATCATCAATGTACAATTAACTCGTCAATAATGGACCCAGTAATTTAATGAACTTATTAAACGGTTATGTAGAATTCGAATTCAAACACCCAGTTACTAACTTAGAATCTAATAATCCAGATTTACCAGTATCACTTAATTTTAGTATCAATATAAAATTCATCTAGATCATTAACAAAATACGAGTCAATGTACTACTTGACGTTAATTCATAGTATTTGTATATAAGGGCTAATATTACCAACGTAGCTTCCTAAATTGATGTAGATGAAGTGAAATTTGAACCTGTGTCTCCTTGGTTGACAACTGAGTGCTTTATTCATTAAACTATCATTTCATCTTCGTCTTATACAATGCGTTTCTTTTCTAATTATATCCATATTCTTCTTAGTGATTTGGTTAACTTAAATGTATCATTAGTTTTTTACTAGAACATTGAATCATCTTAAAGCAATTCATATTAATCAGGCTAGTTTTTTGTATGACTTAATTCCAAGTTTAATTTATTCATCTTCATTGATTTGTCCTATTTAACGCATTATTTAATGAAAATCCATCTACTCTCATAGGTGGTTGTTTTAAATTCTATTTACCTGGGGATAAAATGATTTTTTTGTTGCCTTTTTTAAATTCACCTAGTTTTTTTCCCCATTTAGTATCAATAATATACATACAGTTTTTATACTGAAATAAATAAAGAATTGAATTACTTTTTTGGAAATAACTCAGTTTTTATAGTATTTGTATTAATAATAATAATAATTATTATTATTATTATTATTACTATTATTATTATTATTATGTTATCCCATTTTTTGTATTTGTGCTTAAATAAGTATCGTAAATAGAATATAAATAAGGTCAATCTGTTATTTCTTAATTAACCGGCTAGTGTCTGATATTGTTCATTTGATACAGTAATTTTACAATTACATAAAAATATTTGCCAAAAATATAAATCAATAATTACATGAATGAATTCTATACTGTTATGTAAGGATTAAATTATTTTGTTGAATATTAAAATATAAAAAGAATTTTGTTAAAGATTTATCCTAATTTTACAACAGTAAAATGGTTTACTTTTCTGTTTTTAGTTGATTAGTGGGATGATTAAATTTCGACCACATCTTTCTCTCTCCTCCGTTTACTTACATACTTAGTAGCAATGTTAATTACTATCGATATTTAAAGAATTCAAGTAGTAACTTTATTTTTTTATCAATAGTTGTTTGTGTGTGTGTGTGTGTGTATTCTTCAGTTTATTTAAAATGAAATTTCAACAAATGGTCGATCCACCTCTTGACCTACACCTAAATTTGAATGACCTTTCTTATAGATTAAGAAAACGAAGGAAGTTTAGAATGAACCAATCAATTTTGATGATAAATAAGTATAATTTATTCGGTGACTCATGTGTGATGGATTTTTTTTTACCAGTTTATAGTTCTTTTAATGTTTCATATCTCAATAAGAAAACATCTAGCCAACATACAACTCACCAAATAAACCAATAATATTTACAATTAATTAATCAAATCTAGTGAATATGTATAACAATATAACTCTGAAAATAAGATCCATTATATATTTGAGATTAATTCAACCAACTCATTTCATATTCATTATATTAACTGAATCCATAATTCATTCGACTCAAAATATGCACATAAGTATCGAGTTCAGTTTATATATTAAATTATCTACATTCTTACAATGTAACTAAACAAAGCAATGTTTAAATGAAACATGTAGTTTGTCAAATAGAAATGTCATTTATTCTTTCTAAAGTTGGATAACTATAATAAATTAACATTTATTACACAAAAATCGCTGTATACCTAACTATCTTGTTCTGTATTAATATGCAAAACAGAAGAGGCAGTCGTTCTCAAATATACATGAATATCTATAAAATGTTCCCTCCTTCCCTAACGTACTCTTCAAATAGTGATTACTGGATTTGACTCAACGCAATCAACAATTGAAATAAAGCAGATACAAGATAAAATCTAAAGAGATGCCAAAAAAGTTTAAATGTTAAAAGAAAGGAATACAAGTGTTTATGTAGTGATTACATGGATTTATCTTCTAGCAGCTTCTAAAATCGTTTATCAGCAGTGATTAGTTAAATAAACGACTCATCACCATATTAGGATGATTCTCACATTAATTAAATGAGCTAACTAATCAGTTTATCTTTCTAATAATCTTTCGGGTTCATGATAATTTAAAGAGTTATTGATAGTTCCTTCAGTACAGTTGGTGAATAAATACCCTCGCCCACTTATAATATTAAACAATAAGTTAGAAATCTCAGATAAATATGAAAAGAATGACACGCTAAAGCTATCTACAACCTACTAGGTGTGTACATACATATGTAGAGATTCATCCAACGTCTTGAATCTAATGATTATCAGGATATGTAAGTTGTATAACTGCATATGTTAAATGCACGAATGCACTCATCTCATTTCGTTTAAGACTTGTCAATAGGATGTAATTGCCTCATGATGTGTGTTTTTATCTCCACTGACACTAATTTAAACGCCAAAATGTTATCTTCCTTAATACTTTGGATACAATAAGCACTTTTTATTCAATGTTATTATGATGATTAAGGAAATGGGGTTGTTTTTATTTTCAAAATTGCATCGATTAACATTTGCAATTATTTTCTCCGTAAGTTAATTAGTCTCACGCACATGTCCACATTACACACACAATACTGTTTCTTTCTGTTTTTAAACAATCAACTTTCTGCTTACAGCATTATTACTTCATCAAAGTTGTCTTTGTTTTTTTCTATCATTACACATAAACATGTAGCCCTTTACTGTAATTTTACTTCATGATTCGGAGACGAAGTCGTTCAAAATACATAAAAGAAACTAATTGCTTTAAATTTCTTGATAATGATTTATTATCCTTAATATTATTTGTCTTAAACTTGAATTGTTTTGTTTTGTCAAGTTTTCTACTCTCTTTTTAGTGTATATATATATATATCTTGTGTCATTTTCAATTTATTTATCTTCACTGAAAGGTGCTTTAAAAATGTTCATACTAATATCATAATGATGATTTTGGCAAGGTAAGCTGTTTTTCTACGTCTTGTCAACAATGTTAGCTAACAAACTGCTGTTATAATATATGCATTTATATATTCTCATAATCACTGATCTAGTTTGAGTGTCCGTTTTTTGTGATTCATGTTTAATAGTTTTCTGTCTTTCGTATGAATAATAAATCCGATTTCGTTGTGTGTGTGTGTTCTGGTTCAAGGCAAATATGATTCTGTTCTACTGTTCTATGTTGGTGGTGGTAGTTGTTATGTGTGTGCGTGCAATTTATATCAATTTGACAGCTTTAATTCTTCTTGTGGTTTTTCTTTTAGCCACTCATTTAATTGTGTTCAGTTAATGTGAAAATTATGTTCATATTTTACTTGATTTAATTGCTGTTCCATCGTTCTTTCATCTCATACAACTGGTTGAATTATTTTTAAAGAATAGAAATTCATTAAATTAATGTTGAAATACAGAATATTGGATACAAATGTAATGATCGTAAGATGATTTGTTTGTCTTCAACCCTGAAGCTGTTTGGCTCGATCAGTTGTGGAATTGTTGATATGTTTTACTGAGGAATGCTGAAGCAGTTGATTTCTGGTTTTCATTATTTAATTAACTAACATCGGTCTATAATGATATTTATTTTCCAATTGTTCAGTATAAAATCAACGTATTAATTAAAATGATCATTAAATGGTGCCGGGATCAGAAGTCTTTGAAACCGTAGAACCTTCACAAAGACTGAAATAGGCAATGAAATCACCCGAAATTGATTTATATGTGTATCTATGTTTGGAAGGGTTTTCTCGCCTTCAACTATTTTTTTGTTTGACAATATACAATTCGTAAACCTTTGATTTAAAATTACTCCCAAAATTTTGTCAATAGAAGTGACTTGATTTCTTGATCGACCCCTAACCATTTGGTCATAGCTAATTATGATTGTCAAGTACATTGGGTGAATCTGTGAGACAATAAATTCAGTTTTGTTTGTTCTGTATTTGCAAGTATTTTTCCCATGTATTCACATGTTAGTTATTTAAGTTTACCATAATTCCAGCACTAAAAATTACGTGAAATTTATGTTTTACTGACATGATTATGTTTTCAGCTCGGAAAAAATTTCAACCAATTCTATGATAATTGAAAACAGAATTGATCATCTGGTCTCAGTATTTCAATGGGTAACGCTCTAGGGTTTCACTTGTGTACTAAATGTATAAAAACATATGTTTATAGATTGTTTCATTGTATAATAAGTGACTATCGTACAAATTCCTACTATCTCTGTTCTGTACGTAGTAACTTAAGTTAATTATTGATAACCAAATAAATTCAGTGTTTACTATTTTTAATCTTTGTAAGTATATTGACAAATAGTGAATGAATTGAATAATTGTTAATTGATACAAATTCAAGTGTTAACCTGTTGTTTTTATTTTATCAATGATTCATGCATTCAATCTATTGTTTGTTTGTTTTTAATTGATACACTTTATTCTTTGTTATCAGTTAACTGATCAAATATCATTATTAATACCCAAATAATATGATGTAATGTGTTTATTCCTAGATTGTCTTTTTATTTTTGTCTCATCCATCAACTAATTCATGATAACATTTAACTAATTATTTTCACTTTCTTGAATAACATAATTGTTAATTATATTTTTCTCTGTGTTTCAATGTTTCTTAAAGATTTCATTATAGTGATTATTTTCATTGTTTTTAAAGTTCAATATTCTTTTTCTCATATCAGTGAAATACATATATATCATCATTGAGTAGTTCATCGTAAGTACTTTAGTCTTCAAATCTACTATCTACATTTTTAATCCTATACTGTTTGTAATATTTCTAAACAGAAGGAAATCTTCTGGGACATAAACAGACATTAATGACACTAGTTAAAAATCACACTAAATTACAAATTTAATTTGGTATTATCAACCATTAATTTCGTATTTATCATGTCCACCACAATACTTAAACGTTTTGGGTTCGACCATTTGTAGGGTCAGGATGTAGTGAACAAGAACACCAGTGGGGACAATCGGATGTATTTAACACGAAATTACAGGACTTGTTAATAAAATCTAACAATCATAAAGTAAATGCTTAATTTTCAAAATGTCTACCAATTGTCTCAAAATGACTTAGACCTCATTGTTCTTGCATTTTCATACAAATCACATCCTGTTTTCATTCTTTACTGTTCGATCCTCTTGTCTCTGCTGCCAGACTTTCTGTTCACAACTAACATCATATACTACTTATGTCAATACAAGTAGCACACACCACGAGGACACATAAGTGTTGATTGCTTGTTGGTTTCCACTGGTCCTCTAGATAAGGCTAAATCGTAAAATATTTATGCCTATATATATATATATATATATATATATATATATATATATATATATATATATATATATATATACTTTAGAACAGATCCAAGGGATACTTGTAATATAATGAAACTAAATTAATACAACATATTTTCCTTTCTCATTTGATATTTTTATTAATAAATATAAGCAATTTCCAATCTAACAATCATCTCACTACACTTTAATCTATAAGTGGATGATTTTCGGGAAACATTTTTAGATTCCAATTATACATGCCCTTTTTTATCATATAAATCATATGTACATGTGTCTGAGTGTATGTACATGCTCCCTGTTTGTAAATGTGGCAACTGTTGTTTAGCTTGGTTTCTTTTTTCTCTTGTTATTCTTATTTCTATGTTGTGTATTATTTCATATTTGTGCCTACTTTCCATTTCTGAACAATTATGTTCTTTTCTCTTTTACACGTTTTACAAATTTCATTGATCAGCTATTCATCTTTTCTTGTATTTACACTCTCTCACACTTTCTATCTCTCGTTATGGGTTCTTCACTAATTGTATTCTATAATTTTGTTAGCTTGTAAAATATACACTCTTGTCTATATCTCTAAGAGCACATATAAGCAACGTGGCTAAATAGTAAAATAAGCAAAGAAAACAATGTAAGTTGTAATATTGATTTTACTTTTTTTTCGACGAATGCTTTTACAGTTTGATTGAATGCACAGTATGAAGTTTGAAACGACAATGAGGAAAATAATAATAACAATAATAATAATAACAATAATAATAATAATAATACTAATCGTAATAGTGATAAAAACATCGGTAATGACACACATACACAAGTACTTATGTGTGTAGTTTGCTTTTGTTGTTTATAATATTATAATATTTATCTTTGATTGGGTGATTTTACCGTCCGGTTTTGTCTGCATTTTTCTTCAGTGCTGTGTGCACACATATACGTTGTTCTGTTCACTGATTTTTAATCCAATTCAAATTGTTTTTTTTGCTCACACGTCAGCTCATTAATCTATCTATCTATATATTTGAAAAGCAATTATTTTGACGCTGTTTATAATTTATTGATCGGTGACGTTGTTTTGGTGTGTATGTTAAAGAGACAGAGAGAATAACAGTATCTTTTTTCAAATGTAATTTAATAATCGAAATGAGAAGCACAATTAATTTCCCATTATTTTAACGTTAAAGCTCCTAACAACTACCACAGTTTGATTTTCTTTCCTCATTTCAATGTTGAACTGTAGACATGTTTTTGCTAATCTTGTTTAATCTCTTTTTTATGTAGTATTCATCTCTACGCGATCTGTTCAGTGGTCCAGCTGGTAGCTTATGTCCTACTAATTCAACCGTTATGAGTAATGGGAATTCGTCTCATGTTAATCAAAGCACCCAATGTTGGAATCCACCTCGTCTACCCGAGTAAGGATTTGTTTTGTGCTGTATTCTGTTTTGAAAGCTGTCTAGTGATTTTGTCTATTTATAACTTCAGGCGAATGTCAGCTAATTTTGTTGCTTCCTACTGTCTATATGTTACTTGGTCTATTCCCCTATTAAACACTATCATAATCATCCATAATTACTTATTGTCCTGGGTCAATAGAGTACGATTATATGCTATTTCGACTGTACATCTCTTGGTAAAACATCAAATCAGCATGTAACCTAGAATTACTTCTAGGTAAATGTATGATATTTTCATGTTCAATATAATTGTTCGATATGAAGCTAAATTCACGTACCTGTTCATACTTATTAGCATGATTTACCTATGGAATTAAAGAGAGACTCATGTTCTGTCTTAGACTTTGATTTTCATATGGATTCTTTGTTGATTCAGCCAACATTCATAAATCACTAGTTTTGTACACTATCCGACTGGTTTCAAATGTTAGTCAGTAAGTAAATTCGATCCATTATAATGAAAAGTTACTTAGTATAATGACAATACAACTGTTCTCAGCACTAAAAACCAATAAATTTAACATTAATAACCATCTGGCAACTAATAAATACATTATTACACATAAAAACAATATTTCATGAAGGTTATATTATAATAATGATTTATATATTCTGAAAATAATAATTACAGAATTCACGCCAGTTTACAGGCATGATCAATTTGATATAAATAGTAATATTAGATGTACAGAACAAACATGTGATAGAAGAAAGTTTTAAGTATACTAGTTCAATAATTGTTTAGGTAGTACATGTATTACAGCGATCCAATGCATCAGCCGGGAATTTTTAATATTTCTTAAATGGACAGCCTGTTGATTTATGAACGGAGTAATTAAGGTCATTTCGTGTGTCAGATCGAATTAATGATAATTGTAAGGTTTTTTTATTTCGTAAATTATTGCTGCAGCTGTTCATATCTACTTTACCAGTATTTATTAGAATATCTTTATTTTAAAGCATCAATGTGTTGTTATACTCTGTAATTTTATATTCTTATGCAAATTCTTTATGATTTTCTTCATATTCTTCACTACCAGATGTATATGTATGTATATTTGTGTAATGGTTACTAACTTTTGTTTATAGTTGATTAAGTTAATGCACCAAATTGTTTGTAAACGAAGTTCCACATAACTCTAGAATTTAACATGGTTAATAAAATGAATTCTAAATAGTTAATGTTAACTACGGTGATGATCTCTCTAGTAGTAGTAGATCGATCATCCAATACATGAGGACTGTGTAAATTTGAATCTAATAATTCTCCAATACTCTGTAGTGTTTAACTGGTTTTCCAACTGAGATTTTCAAGTGAAAATTATCTTTAAATGTATGAACAGATTTTAGGGGTGTAACATTATCATTTGTTTGTCACTTATGTGCTTACTTACTTACGTCTGTTACCCCCAATAGAACATAGGTCGCCGACCAGCTTTCTCCGACCCACTCTGTCCTGGGCCTTCCTTTCCAGTTCTATCCAATTTTTCTTCATTTTTCTCATGTCTGTCTCCATTTCTCGGCATAATGCGTTCTTCGGTCTTCCTCTTCTCCTTTGGCCTTGAGGATTCCATGTGACGGGTTGCCTTGTGATACAGTTGTTTGCTTCCCTCAATGTGTCCTATCCACTTCTAGCGCTTCTTCCTGATTTCTCCCTCCACTGGGATCTGGTTTGTTCTCTCCCACAGTAGATTGTAACTGATAGTGTCTGGCCAACGAATTGGAAGTATTTTGCACAGAAAACTGTTGATAAACACTTGTATTGTCTGGATGATGGCTTTCGTAGTTCTCCAAGTTTCCTCTCCATACAGTAAAACTGTCTTGAGATTTGTATTGAAAATCCTGACCTGGGTGTTGGTTGACAGTTGCTTTGAGTTCCAGATGTTCCTCAGTTGTAAATATGCTGCTCTAGCTTTGCCAATCCGCGCCTTCACATCTGCATCAGATCCACCCTGTGTATCAGTGTTGCTGCCCAGATGTGCAAACGTTTTTACAACTTCGAAATCTTTTCCGTCAAATGTGATTCGATTGTTGCATGCCGTGTTGCATTGGAGAATCTTGTTTTTCCCTTTGTATATAGTGAGATCTGTTTCTGCTGAGGCTGCTGCTACACTGGTCGTCTTCTCCTGCATTTGCCTTTGCGTGTGCGATAGAAGAGCCAGATCATCTGCGAAGTTTAGATCGTCCAACTGCATCCCATGCTTCCGTTCAGATGTTGACGTCTTCGTGATCCAGTCAATCACCAGGAGAAAGAGGAAAGGTGAGAGTAAGCAACCTTGCCTGACACCGATCTTTACCTCGAACGAGTCTGTCAACTGTCCTCCATGCACGATTTTGCAGTTTAATCCATCATAGGAATTCTGTATGATATTGACTATCTTCTGAGGTACACCGTAGTTTCGAAGAAGCTTCCATAGTGTTGTCCTGTCCACGCTATCAAATGCTTTTACGTAATCAACGAAGTTGATGTAGAGCGATGAATTTCATTCTATTGATTGTTCTACAATGATCTGTAGTGTTACGATTTGGTCTGTACGCGATCTATCCATACGGAATCCAGCCTGTTGGTCTCGATGTTGGGCGTCTACGGAGTCCTTCATCTTGTTTAACAATACCCTGTTGAAGACTAGTCCCGGTGTTGAGAGAAGAGTGATGCCTCTGTAGTTATCACATTTGCTGAGATCGCCTTTCTTCGGTATTTTGGTCAAAATTCCTTTCCAGTCTGCTAGTACTTGTTCTTCATTCCAAATCTTACTGGAGAGAATGTGGAATATCCCTGCAGTTGCCGCTACGTCTGCTTTCAGTGCCTCTGTTGGAATGTTGTCTGGTCCTACTGCTTTGCCACTCTTGATTTGTCTGATGGCCATGCTGACCTATTCAACTGTTGGTGAGCCAACATTGATTGGGAGGTCCGTGGGTGCTGCTTCGATGTTGGGTGGGTTCAGTGGGGCTGGTCTATTCAAGAGTTCTTTGAAGTGTTTTACCCACCTGTTTCGTTATTCTTCAATGTTGTTGATTACTTCGCCTTCCTTGCTTTTCACTGGTCGTTCTGGTTTACTGTAATTTCCAGTGACTTTCTTTGTCGTATCATACAGTTTTCTCATGTTTTCTTCTCTTGCAGCCTTTTCGCCATCATTGCTAAATCTTCCACATATTTACGTTTGTCGGTTCTGATGCTCCTCTTCACTTGTTTCTTTACTTCTGTATATTCAGCTTATGCCTTGGCTTTTTCTCCTCTTGTTCGGCTGGTATTGATTGCTGCTTTCTTGTTCCTCCTTTCTTGAATCTTATACAGTGTATCAACAGTGATCCATTCCTTGTGATGGTGCTTCTTGGGACCCAGGACCTCATGACATGTTGAAGTGATTGCTTTTTTGATCTCCTTCCAGTTGCTCTCCATAGTAGTTCCTTCTCCATTAAGTAGATCATGAAAGGAATGGAACTTGTTGCTGAGGACTATCTTGAATTTGTTGAGTTTGTTAGTATCCCGAAGAAAGGCCATATTGAACTTTTGTGATATTGTCCGCCCCGTTGTCCAGTGCTTCTTGAGTTTCAATTTCATCTTGGCGACCAGCAAGTGATGATCTGATGCTATATCAGCTCCTCTCTTGGTTCTCGCGTCCTCTATAGTCTTCCTGAACGTTTTGTTGATGCAAATATGGTCGATTTGGTTTTGCGTGGTGTGATCCGGTGAAGTCCATATGGTTTTGTGTATGCGTTTATGTGGGAATATGGTGCAGCCTATGACCAGTTTATTGAAGGCACATAGGTTTGCAAATCTCTCACCATTTTCGTTCCTTTCTCCCATTCCGTGTCGTCCCATGATGTCTTCATATCCAGTGTTGTCCGTTCCAACCTTGGCATTGAAATCTCCCATCAGAATGATCAGGTCCTTTGTTGGGCACTTCTCGATGATTGACTGCAGCCTATTGTAGAATTGATCTTTAGCGTCTTCATAGTAATCGTTGGTAGGCGCATAGCATTGGATGATGTTCATTGAAATGCCCTCTTTCTTTGTTTTGAAGGAGGCTTTGATGATCCTTGGTTCATGAGATTCCCATCCTATAAGTGCTTTCTGTGCTGGTTTTGATAGCATCGATGCAACACCTTGTGTATGTGGGGCATTTTCTTCTTCATGGCCGGAGTATAACTGAAGGTCCCCTGAAGCTAGTCATCATTGTCCAACTTGCGTCCAATGTGTTTCACTGATCCCGAGCATCTCCAGGTTGTATCTCCTCATCTCTGCAGCAATTTGGAAGACTCCCAGTCTCCCACATTGTACGAGCATTCCATGTACCTAAATAAATTATTGCAGAGTGTAAATGGCTTAAATAATTTTTTTCTGGTTAGCGTTTTAGCTAGTTAGTTTTCTACGCGATGGAGTAGATAACCCTGTACCCAACCCTCTTCCTTTATCCGAGCTTGGGACCAGCAGCAGCCCCAGAGGGGCTCTAGGAGGAGTTGTCACTTATGTAATTACTTCAAATTACAATTCTAGGTATATCTTCAAAAAACGTATGGGCTAATCAAAATTATTGACGTCTTGAATGATATTTTCTTTCTAGTTCGTAATGAATGTTTGCAAAATTATTGTACAGCATCATTTATGCGCCATAAAATATTTCCATTGTTTCATCATTTACACTAAACAATTGAAATGTTTCACATTTTCCATAGGATACTACAGTAAAGCAAATCATTGACGAGAAACGTCTACAACAGCTTCTGACCGCTTGTGATCTGTATGACATAAAACAGTCACGGTTACTCCAATTAGTGAAGTCGTAAAAAATTAGATGTTCTCAAGCAAATGTCTCTCTAAAGTCTGTTGTATGAGGTAAAGCAGATTTTAAGTGTCTCGGATGTCCATCATCGCCAGTGACCTAGCTAATATGGCTGACAAGATGTTTGTTTATTTATTAATTTGAACACATAAATATTGGTACAAGGAGGCACCA